GTGGCCGACATCTACATCAAGGAGATCTTTTCAAAACATGGAGTACCTCGAACAATTGTATCAGATAGGGGAACTCAGTTTACAGCGGAAATTTGGAAGGAAATATGTCAGTTCTTGGGAATAAAGAACTTATACTCGACTGCGTATCACCCTCAAACAGATGGACAAACTGAGCGAGTAAATCAACAGATGGAAATCCTGCTCGGAATGTATGTAAACTACAACATGGACAATTGGGATCAACTTCTACCAATTGCTGAGTTCGCTTATAACTGTTCGCCACATAGTAGCCACGGTCTGTGTCCTTTTGAAGCCTGTTACGGCTATGTGCCGCACTACGACATCCATTCGCACGATATTCGATCAAAGTCAAACAAGTTGGAGAAGAAATGGAGAGATATGGGAGAGTTGCATGCGACTGTTCAAGAACAGGTCAGGATGGCGAATGAAATTAGTGCAGAGTACTACAACAGGAGACACAAGAGCATACCAGAAGAATTCAGAAAGGGAGAACAGGTACTACTAAGTACGAAGTATCTTACGACGGAACGACCCAGTCGAAAACTAGAAGCAAAATACATTGGCCCCTTCAAGATCATAAGGAAAGTTGGAAAAAATGCTTTCGAATTAGATCTACCTCCATCAATGAAAGTGCACAATGTCTTCAATGTCACGCTGTTGGAACCATATCCTAATGATATGATACCAGGTCGACAGATACCACCCCCACCGCCTGTAGTAATTAACGGCCAGGATGAATTCCATGTGGAAGCAATCGTGGACAGCAGAATTCGACGAGGAAAGGAAGAATTCAAGGTAAAATGGTTAGGATACACAGGAAATGCGGCCTATGACTGGGAACCACGAGAAAATGTAGAAGAGTTGGCCGTTTTTGGTGAATTTTTGGAAAAGAGGAAGAGGGACCCCAGAAGAAAGTGAGAATTCGATCAAGATCAACAAAACTGGGTCAGAAATGAATGCATACACAGGAAGTATAGCTACAAATAGAGAGATATAAACACACTACTCAATGGAGGCGTTAGAATCGGCTCGGGGACGACGGGCCGAAGCGGGAATACGAATGACATTGCGGGGAAGAGGAGTATGGGGAGAAGAGGATGGACCGGCAACTGGCTGAGAGGAACTCAATCCTGTAGGATCACCAGTAGAAGTAAGATGATCCAGAGTTTCATCGGCAGAGGGAGGAGCGTAGTTGGCGGAAATAAGATGAAGGGATTTGTAAAGAGCCAGATGTTGAGAAGGGAGAGGAAGGAGAAGGGAGGTAAAGAGATGGATGTAACCCGAAAGTTGGGTCAGACAGGCGGGTTGGTCATGGGCAGGAAGGGATCGATAACGGACCGAAGCCGCACAAAGTTCGTGCTCCAGGACAAAGGTAACCTTGGAAGTGACCGTTCTTGCTCCCACAACAATACCCTATACATCAACATCGACCAAGTTCGAAGGAAATAGACAGGTACCTCACGGAATTTGGACTCAGGGTTGTTGGTCTTCACCGAACATTTTGAAGTACCCTTAGCAGAGCATTCACCACACACACCACCGACTGAATTGCATCAACATTGAACGAGTCGCAGCAAGAACTTACGAGGGCCAATACATCCAACACGAAAGTTTTCACCACCATCGAGACGACGTTGACAATCGGTACAGAGCTCACCCTCTAGCCGAACGACAGCACCATTTTTGTTGCGGAGGCGCCAACCTTGGGCCAAACGATCGAGCTAATGATTAGAATCGATGAAACTCAAGAGAATTCGAGGCTTACAGCATTCTTAAACCACTTTACAGTGGGCTTGATGGCGTTGGTTTCGCGGAAACGGTCCAGAGCTTCGTTCTTCAACGCGAGACGAACAGAGGAGAAGGTCATGCCGACCCAAAGGGTAGCTAACAAGTCAGAAGCGAACAGAACTCGGTGGAATTCTCACCGATTTCGGAGTCTTTTCTATCCTCGAGCAACTTAACCAGTTCCTTGTTGACGGTAACCTTGCGAGGGGCGTGAAAGATGTCACCAAGCTCGTCGGGAACCTCCACAAGTTCGTCGGAAGCCTCAGAAGGAGGACCAGTGGGTTGCTTACCGGGAGAATTTGCATTTTCGACGACGGTAGGGTGTTCGGATTCGACAGATTTGGCGGGAGATAGGTTCTCACCAGTGGCAGATGGCCCAGCACCCCCTGCGAAGTCGAAATATTGCTCGATGACATGGTCATCAAGGAGCGATTGTGCTTCGCGAGAAGGACCGGATTGATACTTCTCCTTAATGGTGTCGAGAGCTCGTCGAGACGCATCAACCAATGGGGGTTGAGAGGAGGCGGCTTGGGAAGTAATTCTCATTCTTTTCGTTTGACGCATGAGAAGTTCGGGGTCGACGTCGGGTAAAGTTGCCAAGGTAGAGGCTCGAGTTTGACGGGAGGGAGTGGAAGAGGACAACTAGTCTCGTCAGCCAGCGAGAAATATGAGGATATACATCGAATTCGAAAGGAATTGCTTACAGTACGCTTAGACATGCTCACAGACAGGTCAGAGTTGGAAGGATGCTCTAAGATATGAGTAAGATATGGATGGATAATGATAGATAAGTAAAAAGAATGACAAACAAGAGGTAAAGAGAGAATGAGGAGGAAAGAAGAGAAAAAAGACGGGGAGGTAACTTGGTCAGTAATTTCTCGATCACATTGGAGGTCCGTGCGGGTGACGCGTTTTCATGGCAACCGTCACACTAGCGTGGGTATGATGTCAGGGCGCACCAAAGGTGTCTAAGAACAATCCATGTGCATCACCTGGTTACAGGGTTCAGGATCCTCGGCGAGGATCCTTGAGACAGGGGGGGAAACTTGTTACGGAGTAACAACGAATCGAGAGGACTCTATCGAGTTCGACGGATTAGGACAGAGGAAAGCGGGAGTTGGAGGCAGTGCTGCAGTAGGTAGGGACGGGTTTTCCCCTTTCGAGATTTCCCCACTGGGTTTGCTCAAAGCGGTTTTTCACCTGTCCGAGTATGTACGTAGACGCTTGCAGCAGGAAGGAGACGAGGACAAGGATAGCCGTAGACAGTATATAGTACAATCAGCAAAGTACCAACTTTGCTGATTCTTCAATATCATTCTTTGGCTACATCGATTGCAGAGGAGACACGATCCATTAGCACCAGAGCCCCTAGATTTCCACGAGACATCCATCGAGTTCGACCCAACCTGCGACCTAGTCGTCGTGTTTCCAGTACCGTTACAACCATGATACCATATGAGTTCACCATGATACCATATGAGTTCACCATGAATTCATATGCATTCATCATGAGTTCATACGTGTTCACCATGAATACACCTGAACCCATATGGGTTCAGTCAGAAATCACCTGAATATTGTGTGAAACCGTCATGAACTCACCAGAGTTCATACAAGTCCGCATGGACTCACCTGATTCCGGGAAGAATCCACATGATATCAGTGTGAATCCACATGATATCAACCCGGATGATTCTGAATTCATACGACGAGTTTGCGCATCACAAATCCCTTGGAAAAGGATATAAGGAGGACATTTGTAGTTTGTAGTTTTCCTTTTCTCAAGGATCAAATTATTATTTGCCACTCACAAAAGACCTCTTCTTGACATACTACTTACATCCGACACATCCCTCATCATCATTACCCCTGTCCACATCATCACACACACCCTTATCGTCATCTCGACCTGCCCGGATCCTTTGCAAGTCACTTTAGTCGTCTGACCACATCACAAGTCTACGGACAACATACTAACCGTCGTTGTCCAAGCTAACTGAACAGTTGCAGTCCACCTGTCTTTGATCCATTGAGGTTTGTCAAGGACAGGACCGTGACAGTCCTGTTCAACCCAAAACCCCAAGCTGTGTACCTTGCAAACTTTGTCCCCAACGAAGTCCATGCATTCCTCACTTTGGACCTCCCTAACTTTGCATCTCCCTAACTTTGTATCTCCCTAACCTCATCTCTCCCTAACTTTGTATCCTTCAAACTTCCTACATGACTCAAGGACAAAGTTAGTCATGTAGTAAGTTCAGGAGATACAAGGTTAGGGAGATACAAAGTTAGGAGGATACAAAGGTAGGGAGATACAAAGTTTGCGAGGTATGAAGCTCGGAGCTTTGGGTTGACCAAAGTTCAGCGTAAGCAAAGTTAGGGAAGAACAATGTACTGTCATGAGTGATTCTGATGAATGGTTTCACTGCAAATGTGATCACTGGACTTGTTAATCATGTCAATTGATATTGAGAATACATATACAATGAAAAGTATATCACTTTATGCTTCTATTTATACTTGAACTGTCTGTTCCTTCTTCCCATCGATCTCATTCAACCCATGAGGGTCATTTCACAATCTTTCTAGGATCTCTGTCTTGACTGTTTGGTACTTAGCTTGTGAACCGAGTTCTCAAAAGTTTGACCTGGTTTATACCTAGGATTGAATCCACCCATATGAAAAGCAGCTCTTTCTAAATCTGTACCTTTTTTACTGAAATTTGAAAGAACGTTTTTATTTTGCTGCAAAATGTTACCAACCATGGTATCTGATAACTGTCCTAAAGTTTCACGATTTCTGTATGTGAATGGTGCTCCAGTCATCTTGAAATGACTTATAATCTCATCTTGATATGATTGAGCTTCCTGGCATTCAGGAGTATCGAATAATCTCTTAGCTCGTTCTGATACGAAAAAGCTTTCCTCATCTATCTTTGTCCCTTTTCCTTTTGAAGATTTATCTGTATCAAGGTCAAGATCATCTGAAGTAACATATTGATTTGTTGATTCCATACCTTGAGTTTGAGTTGAATCTTTTTCTTCTTTTAAATATTGTGATAGAACATGATGTATAGTAAGGGCATCACCTAGAGTACGATGTTGGAATAAAGCTTTATTAAACTCAACTCTTGCCTTAGCTTTGTCACCGGAGAACCCAGAAGCTATCTCATTATATGAAGAGTCTGGAATTGGATCCTATTTCATTGATTCTCCATATGCTCGATAACAATCTTTTAATTCTTTTTGAGTCAATCCACCAGATAGATTCTTTTTTGTCAAATCACCTAAAACACATGCAAAAGCTGATGCTTGTAATCCTTTTGAACGTTGATTTTTAATCCAAAGTTTCATTGCTTCTCCAACTCTGACTTGTGTTTCAGGTGAACAAGAAGCTACCCAATCAGGAACCCAAACTTCATCTGTTTGATTTTCATCATCATAATCATTGTCATCATCATTTTGTGTTTCTTTCCCAAAACCATCTTTACCATCAGTCTCGTTTTTTGGATTAGGAGATGAATTGGAAGTTTGTGAGGTGAAATTCCCATAGGATGTTCGGGTTCGTGAAGATTTAGCGACAAAACGATAATGAGGATTAGGGACAGGGACCATGGTTTCTTTATATTCGGGTAGTCGAGTCAATGGATGATAATGCTTTACAGTAGGGACGTCAATCGGAGATGAAGTGAGAGATTTTGTATCGTCATCATCTGATCCTGAATTTGATTTTAGATCAGGGAAAGAAACTTTATGTCTTGCGGTGTTGTCAGTATTAGGAAGACGACCAGAGTTTAGGTCATTAGTTGAAAAACCATCGCGTGGTAAACTCCACGGATCCAGTGTACCATCTTTGTGTTTAGCCAGATTGCCTCGAACGGTGGAACCAGTAGCATTAGAGGGAGATGTTGTACCTGAAGCTAGGTCTCTAGGTATGGTTAAGATTTCATCGCTTGAAGGAGGGAATGTATTGGTCTCTGGTGGAGGTTCGTTACGTGTACTACGTATGGAGAAAATGGGTTGCTGAAGGAGGTGAAGAATCGATGGGATCCCACTTTTAGGTCGGGAGTCAGCAGAAGGGGAGACGAGGGAAGGGGCGGAAGGGTCGGAAGGGTCGGAAGGGTATGGATCAGGTGGAATTGAAGGAGGTTCAGGTAGGGAAGAGTCGTCTGGTTCTCCGGTGGAAGTGCCAGTGGGTGCCGGTTCGGTTGTAATGTTGGATGAATCGACTGTTGACATGTTTTTTTTTTCTCTTTTTGTTGTTTGAAATTGGGCCGGCAAGGTCTCAGTTATTATAACAGGAATGAAGGTTGTGTATAGGTCGTGAAAGGGTTATTTCAGGCAGCACATAGATGTGATGAAAAGGTGAAGACTGAAGACGGGAGTGAGGGACGGAAGGAAAGAAGGAAAGAATGTATAGAAGGAAGGAATGGATAACAACAAGATGATATGAGAGGTGGTCGGAGGTGGTGAGAGACAGATCAGGAGAATTAAACGGGGACCAACGCCTACTTAATACAACTTGCGACATGCTTCATGTCATCGAGGAGAGACTCGAAAGGGAGAGGATCCTTTGTGCCGTGTGACAAATTCAAACTTTAGTTAATAGAAAGGGTAAACGAGGAGTTCAGTGTAAACGAGTTGTCGTGGATGACATCACAAAGTAAGACTACCTGCTTCAGTTTTGGACGAGGATGAGCAAGGGGTGAGAGGGTCAGTAAGGTCCAAGAAATCGATAGAGCCCTGACGAGAGGACGCTGAATAGTAGTACTACCTAGTGATTTCCCCGTATGACCTGAACAGATCATTATATCAGAGCGGTCGTTGAGTATAAGTACTCTTACTCAGCTATGGGATAATGTTAGTTGTGCGAGGCAAGTAAGTAATACTAAGTACTTACTAAGTAACTACTACTCGTAAGTACGAGTGCTCTACTAAGTAATGTGTTTCCAACTCGGAGAACAAAGGGAGGGGTGATATAGGCGCGCGAAATGACACCCCAGTTAGGCGCATCAAGGACGGAGCGGATGTCGGACCTGTTTCCCCCAGCAGTTTTCCCGATCATCCATCCATCTCCATTCCATCTTTTCTTACGTTTCTTCCTTTTTCCTCTTCTCACTGGTACCTTCTACCGCTTCCCCATCTTCTCTCCTCAGACAAAATGCTGTCCATATCCTCAGCTGCAAAACGCTCGGCGGGAGGTCTAAGACGACAGCTCGTTGCCCGATGTAAGCTCTGTTCTTCAACTTTTTCCCAACCTTCAACCGCTCACCCATGTCTTCTCCTTCGACCCGTTATCAAGAGCGATAAGCTGGTTGAGCCAAAGTAAATGAACTGTGTAGCTGATAACTAGCGTTCCATAACTCTCAACCACGCTCTGCTCTCACAAAATTCTCAATGCCCGCCATGTCCCCTACCATGACAGAAGGTGGGATCGCTTCGTGGAAAAAGAAAGAAGGAGAGACTTTTACAGCTGGAGATGTTCTGGTAGAGATTGAAACGGATAAAGCTACTATTGATGTGGAAGCTCAAGATGATGGTATTATGGTGAAGATCATTGTGGGTGACTTGACCATCTCTGACATTCGACTTCTTTCACCTACAATTCGTGACTGTGACACCCTCACGTCGCTTGAGAAACAGCTCATAAATGGTGCATTTCCATAAATGAGGAGAGATACTGATACTCAGTCCGAAGACGGAGCCAAGGGTATTCAAGTCGGGACTCCCATCGCTATCATCGCCGAAGAAGGTGACGATCTATCAGGTGCTGAAGCAATGGCAAAAGAAGCTGCTTCTGCTCCCTCTCCCGAACCCACTCAAGAAGAGTCTAAAGAGGAAAAACCGAAAGACAGTGGGAAAGCTGTGACTTCTCCAGTAGAGACTCCTGGAGATCAAAGTGGACTGGCTTCGAAAGATCCTCAAACTTCACCGCAGAAAGCACCTGAGAAGCCTGGGGAAGGAGAGAGACCTAAATTCTTTGCTAGTCCATTGGCGAGGAAACTCGCTTTGGAAAAAGGTATTCCTCTGGCTGAGATCAAGGGGACTGGACCAGATGGTCGGATCGTCAAGGTGGGACATACTCTGTTCTCATCGCTTGTCTTTCATTTCCTTTCCTCAAATTTTCGTATATTCGGAGTTGCCCTTGGAAGGCAATGGTATGAGTGAAGAGCCTCACTAATTATCAGGCCGACGTCGAGAAATACAAACCCGCCTCTTCTACCGCCACCACCCCCACTTCAGGAGCCACAGCCACCCCTGGGAAACCCGCGCCAGCAGCTTCAGCCGAATACGAGGATATTCCTACTACCAACATGCGCAAGATCATCGGTAAACGCTTAACTGAGAGTAAACAGCAATTGCCGCATTACTACCTGACCGTGGAGATCAACATGGGTGAGTGGGGGAATTTCTCTCATGTCCCTGCGTATCACAATTTATGTCTCTCATGATATCTAACTCCCCATCCCATGACCTCCATCAATCCTGCTCGTGATCTACTCTGAGCGTCGGCGTCCTCGTGTGATTTGAAACGCTCGTCTTCTCAGTGATTAATTTCTCACCGCTTGCCAGCTGTTACCAGATGTCACGGAGGAACTCGTAAGCTGACACTCAGATCGCATCCTTAAACTACGAGAGATGTTCAACAAAGCCGGTGAAGGAAAGACCAAGTTGAGCGTCAACGATTTCAGTCAGTCCTCAGCTCCATACCATGTGATCCAAGCTGACTGGTAGTTGTCAAAGCTGCCGCTTTAGCACTTGCCGAAGTACCCGAAGCGAACTCTGCATGGATGGGTGATTTCATTCGACAGTGAGTGCAAAGTTTTCTTTTCCTCTCCACGGCATATTTTCTGATAAGATCCAAAAGTTGATATTTTCAGATACAAACGTGCGGATATTTGCGTAGCCGTAGCGACACCAACAGGTCTAATCACACCTATCATAAAAGATGTCGGATCAAAAGGTCTCGCAACCATTTCCACCGAAACTAAATCACTCGCTTCCAGAGCAAGAGATGGCAAACTCAAACCAGAGGAATATCAAGGTGGTACTTTTACCATTTCCAATTTAGGAATGTACGGTGTAGATTCATTCACGGCAATTATCAACCCACCTCAATCTTGTATCCTAGCAGTGGGACAAACATCTCAAGTATTGAAACCTGATTCGAGCGAGGAAAAAGGTTTCAAAGTCGTCAATGTCATGAAAGCTACTTTGAGTAGTGATCATAGGACTGTTGATGGTGCAGTGGGAGCACGGTACATGAAGGCTTTTAGGGAATATATGGAACAACCTTTGACTTTTATGTTGTGAGGTGGTTTTATGAATATATCTACATTGGGTTTTGTGTTCTTCACAACTGATGGATTTCGTTCACAATGATGTGCATCTTTACTTCCCATCACTGCATCATGGGTATGCGAGTGAGAAGTGGGAGCGATTTGATAATCTCACGGAGACAAGTGGCAACAGGGGTTTAGAGGAGAAGGGAGGTGCGAGTGAGAACTCGAGGGTGATAGGTGTGACCAGGAACAATCTCATTTCCAATCTGAATGAATTTCAAGTAGTATTTCACTTTTCAACGTCTCACATGAGAGACAAGATGCTGATGATTGCATGATTGTTTGTTTTCTATTCATGTTGATCCTTTCCATGCCCGTTGGCCTTTTCTGTAGGTTCTTGAGGGATTTCAACATTTTTGATCCATGCTCCTATTGAACCCCTACGTATCAGCACGAGTCATTCCGAAGCACAAGAGCACCAGATCGTCAAAGCCTCAGATCACCAAATCACACAAAGTATTAAAGTGTCAAAGTTCCAAATCCAACACGTAACGATTTCCTTGGACCATTGAGTGCACTTCCAACAGGGACAGGTAGACTAATGAGAAAGAAATGAACCGGTTCAACCCAAGAAAGATCATTCTCACTGAGAAAGACGAGTCAACAGGGATAAAGATAGACAGAAGAGAGGGGCCAAGAGGGAAAGAAGGAAGAGACGTAACGCAGGAAGATGTGGAAGTGGAAGGAGGTAGGGAGGAAACAACAGAAGGGAGGGGAAAATGACCCACAAAAACCCCTCATGTCTTAAAAAACAAGCTCTCATAGTTCCTTTACTCCAAAATCTTATAGCATAAGATAAAGTGGAGATGGTAGCTGCGTGACCCCGGATGAAACATCCTCCAAAGAATACTCGGTCGAGGTTATATTTCGCAGCGTTCATATATCTACCAGTAAGCCACAACTCCTCGATATCTGAGATACTACGAATGGCTAGACAGAATGTGGATACACCCCCTTGAGACTCAGACAGAGAGTTCACGTGTGTTTCACCAGAACGGTCCCAGTCAGGCGAGGTAAAACGGTGCGCGGTGGGGTCTGCGGTGGTGCGCCAAGAGGTGGTCAAAAATGGTGGGATAGGAGGTAAGAAGATATGTGGGGTGTGTTGTAGTATACAGCGGGAAGACTGGTCAAGATACAAGGTGTCGATACTGAAATGTGGATTATCTCAGGTCTGAACATGTGAAACATCTGGAAAGTCAAGAAGGTGTGAAGAGAGAGGATGACAGGGGGGGAGAGGGTGAGGGGGGGGGGGGGGGGACTTTAACTCACGCGACATGCCCAATATTATTCGAAATGGCATATAACAAACTTCTGGCTATATCCGCTTGACTGAATTTTTTCATCCTCTCTTCTCTACTTGTTCCTTTTCTGAACACCTTTCCAAAAGTCGATGCGATGGTGGATGATTTAAGACCGATTTTCGAATAGTCCGAACCGTAAATATCACCGACAAGCATATCCACACCTGAATTGTCGCCTTGTTCGGACAGTGCGAGCATGTCTAAAGTAAGTCAGCATATATGACAACTGCACATATGCCGTATGATTCGAGTTCACAATCCCATATGAGCAATATGCGGGTTTCGGGAGAGGAGATATGATGTCGACAACGATCTCGGGCACGAGGATTGATGTGGGATATATTGTATGTGTTTAGACTCACCATCAAACGACCTCGCATCAGTCAACAAACTCAACAAACCCCATAGGGTCCCTCCACCCAAACTTGTCCCACTAACACGTTCAAATCCACCATCTTCATCAACTTTCACTATACTTACTCCACTACCAATATTGACGATTAAACAAGGAAAATGTGGCGTTTCTTCATCTTCCTTTGGTGTAGGTGCGAAAGTGACTTGATATGTAGGTGGACTAGGTGAAGGTCTAGGTAATTCACCATCTTGTATTTTCTTTCCTAAATTCACAGAATGTGATACTTTATATACTAATTCTTCAGAGAACCAAAATACCTCTTCAGGAACTCGAGTGACGAATGCTAAACCAAGTAACAAACATTCCATTTCTTCTTCTCTTCTAACTTCTACTCCAAGTTCTGAAGTAAGACGTGAATAATACATATGAGCTCCTCCACCTGTAGCCATGACTTTGACTGTGGATCGCATCTTTTCAAGGGATACATGATTGGCTTTGGCCGAAGAGGATATGAGATCTTGTAAGAAAGAAATGAGATCGTCGATATGTTCAGTTTCGAATCTAGCGAAATTGAGTAGACCACCGGGAAGAGGTGGAGGGAGGGAAGAACGTCGGGAGGATGCGTGTGGACGAGAATGAGTGAAACGTCTTTTGGGTGTCAAGTTTTGAGGAGTGAGAGCTCCGTTCACTTTCGGACGTTGACAAGTGTCGGTGGAGGAAGATGTGGGAATGGTAGTATGTTCTGTTTCATGATGTGGAGAGATTGTCGAAGTGGAAGTAGCCGTACCTGTGGACGAGGAAGCGGTAGAAGAAGTTAAAGGTTGAGGAGGATGAGGGTGAAGGAATGGGGAAGAAGGCCCAGATGTAGGAGAGTGAGAAAGAGGGAGAGAAGTTCGAGTGAAATAAACGACTTTGGCTAAAGATCCACCTATCTATCATGTCAGATCTCGTCTCTATAATCGTGATTGAGAACCGTTCAGTCTGTGACAGTAAATCATTATCATCATATCCGAGGAATGAGATCATCGATGATGCGGGATGAGCAAAGAACAGGAAGGTGATTTCGAGGTGAGTCACCCTTGGGTAGGAGAGGTGGGATGATATAACACCACTCACATCGATGGCAATATGGGATACAGGTTCAATGTAATGAGGTAGATATATACCTCTCGAATCCCTAGTCTTTTCATCAGCTAGTCGTCCCTCCTACGATAGCTGACTCACCGCCGGGGAAGCCTCTTCAACAATCTGAGCTCCTGTAGTATCCACCACTATTCTCCTAGCTTGAGGAATTGAAATATCGGGCATGGCGACTTCCCGTATACTTTTACCCTACAGTATATTCTAAAACTAATGAGAAATGATGAGAAGGAGAGGAAGGAAGGGTCGAGGGCTTTGATAATTGGAGACCGGCGGGTTGGAAAGAAATCCTTTGTTCCACTATGACGACGGTGACGGATTAGTCATTCACACGAATACCGTTGTATTCAGACTTTACATTCATGACGTAGGTCGCGCTAAAGAAAGAAAGGTGAGTGTAGCATAGACAAAGTTAGAGGTTGACGGGAAGAGGAGGGGGGGGGGGCGGGGGTTGTGGGATGTAAGGGGGGGAAAAAAAGGGGGGGGGAAAACGCAAGGGGGACAATAATTCAAAATTGACGGGCCACCTCTATCATGGAAATTTCAACATTTTCCCCTTTCTCACAAATTCGAATTTTTAGAATGATTTCCCTTCTCATGGACCCCGGTGTCATCCCAAGACAACCCTGTGCAGATTGACTTTCATAAATTGCGGACCTGGAAGATGTCAATTTGACTCTAAACATGGGTCCCTCGGCTCAAGTATTTTCGTGGAGCGGAATGGAAAGAGCCCCGAGAGGGAAAAATTTCTTGCATTATGACCGGGTCGAAGAACG